TTATTGTTATTACTATTATTATTATTAATATTATTATTACTATTATTAATGGAATAAAAGAATTAGTAAGAAAAGGGGTATTAGGGGCTGTTTGGGAAAAAAAGTTGGAAGAAAAGGAAAACACAATCAAGAGGAGAAGAAAGAAGAGAACACGGTGAATTGGAAGAAGAGTGAGGAGAAGAATCAAGGAGGAAGGAAAGGGAAGCTAAGAATCATCGTTTCAGCAAGAGTTTTCAACAACTTGAGCAAGTTATCGAGGAAAGGGGAGGGGGAAGAATCGGGTCGAAATTGGTATTTGCATGAATCCTAGGTAGAAGGGGATTTCCCTAACCCTATAGGCTTTGATGAACTTAATTGTTATGTTGTTGTGATTCTGAATTGTTGATGGTAAGATAGATTTGTTGCATGTGGTTGTTTGGATGATTTGGGGTTTCCGGGTAGTTACCATTTTTAAGCCGGAAATGAGTTAATCGGTAGAGCTGAGGTTTTATCGGGTGGAATCTAGAATAGAATATGTAGCTAAGTTGCAGAATGTTGGACTAGTGCTGTGGGAACTGGTTTGAGTAAAATCGGGCGATTTCGGAGAGTGTTGTCAATTCTGAACAGTGAGGTTTTTGTGAAATCGCAGACATTCGCCAACACTTTCGCTAGGCGAGTGAATAGCGAACATTCGTTGATGTTTCGCTAGGCAAACTGGGTAGCGAGTGCTCCCAGTAGCCATTGTCTGCCTTCGCTAGGGAGTTCGCTGGGCGAGCGAGTAGCGGGCATTCGCTGATGCTTCGCTAGGCGAGTGAGTCAGCGAGCATGACAGTAGTTTATGTTTTGTGTTGTTCTGTTCTGTGCTCTTGTGTTGTGGGACCTTTGTTGGTCATGATTAAAGATGAGATTGGTGTTGAACAATTATGAGTGTATGTGAGGTGTTGGAAGGTGATTTCGTGTTATTCGTTTAATTAGAATAATTCAATTGGTGTATGTTAATATGTATGAATATGGTGATGTGTGGAATTTGTATGTGCAATGAATAAAAGGTGATCGGGAGGATCGTGTGTACTCAGTGTCGAATGGGATTTCCCTATTATTTAACTTGATTGATATAATTGATTGGTGTGTATATATACATATGTGTATGATGTATGGTGATGTGATCAGTAGGACCGTGTGCACTTAGTGTGCTTGATGGTTGTATGTTGTGTATTTGGGGTTGTGCATAACATGGTGTCTTGGTAGGGTTGAATCATGTCTCAGGAGGAGCGTAAGTGATTCAACCATACTCTCTTGTGATATTTATGATGTGCTCCTTTGTGGAAGGTTGATGGCCCAGTGTCCATCAGTGATGATGTGCTCCTTTGTGGAGGGTTGATGGCCTAGTGTCCATCAGTGATGATGTGCTCCTTCGTGGAGGGTTGATGGCTCAGTGTCCATCGGTGATGATGATGTGCTCCTTCGTGGAGGGTTGATGGCCCAGTGTCCACCGGTGATGATGAGGTGCTCCCTTGTGGAGGGTTGATGGTCTGGTGTCCATCAGTGATGATGAGTCGGTACCGCATGCATGTGTTGGGTTGCATTCTTGCATTATGATATGTTGTGTTGATGATTGGACAGTAGGTCCTGTTTAATGTTGGTGGGGTGATGATTTATTTATTTACTGCCTTTTTATTCATGTATTTTATTACCGTTAATTTTGATCATGTTTTCTCACCCCTTGTTGTTGTTGTGGCCTGTGCTTCTTCAGAAGTACAGATAATCCAGGTGCGTAGCTAGCTTGGATAGTGGCGAATCGAGTCGTAGGGATGCTCTGATACGTAACACGGGGCTTTTGGGGAGTTATTTGTTTATCTGATGATTTTGTTTTGACTCCGTGTCGTATCATGTTTTGATGGATCCATTGATGATGTTTTGTATATTTTGGGCGGATGGCCGAATATGATGTATATATATATATATATATATATATATATATATATATATATATATATATATATATATATATATATATATATATATATATATATATATATATATATATATATATATATATATATATATATATATATATATATATATATATATATATATATATATATATATATATGTCATTTTCCGCTGTTAATTGTTGAATTCATTTAATGAAATGTTATGTTGGAGTTTCCTTTTTGTGATATCCCGTTTTGGTGTGGCAACTCTGATAATTATTTTGATTTAAATTGCATTTATTTTATTTTTGGGGAAACAGGGTGTTACACTCGACCCGGAAGATCGACAAAGACTCTTCCTCGTGCCTTCTTCCTCCCCGACACATTTATAGACAAGTCATCGCTCCTTTACTTTTGAGCTACGACTTGGGGGGGGGGGTCCTGTTCTAGATTAGGCCCAGGCCTGCCCATCTGCCGGGCAGGCCCAGCCCAACGCTATTTGGGGAAGGCCCAACTAGTCCCAAATCCCCCAGTGTTGGGCACGGGTCCAGATGCCCCGGCCAGGCGCCTTCCCCTGTCTGGCAGAACAACACGTCTTCCACACGTTCTCCATGTGCCCCCTCCGTGGGGACACGTCATCAGACAACTACCTACCTCTGAAGGAGCAGGTCAGTCCACCTTCCGGAGATCACGGGACATTTGATCTAGGGCGAAGACCACATGCTGGTCTTCACTACGCCACGTAAGCCCTAGCAATTACTTGTGTTAGGCCTGGTCATCCAGCCCAATGCAAGTGACCATTGGCCCTGCGCTGGGGTCTCACTATAAATACCCTCTTTCACTAGAGGGTCAGGTATTCAATTTCCTACCTCTTTTTTATATTTTCTCTCACTCTGGTCCCTTACTTACTTTGGCATCAGAGTGTCTTGCAGGTACACCCCCCTCCTCCTTGCTACCTTCGGTGAATAGCTCTCAGATCGACGACGCATGGCAGGTCACTGATTCCCTTCTAATAAGGTAAGATCAGTTATTATCAACATTTTCTGAATCGGTATTACCTAGGGTTCTTGCATGTAAACACGCTTTTGATGTTTGTGATAATTTTCATTAACTTTTCAACGCCCAAATGAAAGCCAGGGTTCGACAATTCCGTGTAGAGCAAAAATCAACAAAAAAGGCAAACAAGTCAATCACAAAATTTTTCTTAAGAATCAAAGAGATTGCAAACTCTCGGTTAGTTGTTGTTGGCTCTATCACCGAATAAGATCAGGTAGGTTTAATTATAAAACAAGTTTCCGAAGAATACAATCTAATCATACAAATGTATGGTTATTCTACACCTCCTACTATGTGATGTTGAAGCACTAATGTATGTGCAAGAAGCACAGTTATACAAATTTTGTCAATAGTTGGCTATTTCAAACATCGGTGTAAATGTTGCTCACACAAGTCAAGAAGAGAACAGACCCAGAGGAGCAAACACAGTTAGTCGAGGTAGATGAAGGTTCAGTCGTGGGCATGGTTCTGGGTGAGGAAGGTACACAATTGGAAATCGTTCCACCTGTCAACTTTGTGTAAAGTATGAGCACTCAGTCACAACCGGTTGGCACCGATTTCATGAACATTTCAAATCGCAGTCAAGAATCCACTTAAGAAACCTCACAGAGTTCTTAGGCTATGGCAATGATGGCTACTATAAGTCGACCTTTTTCCTATATTCAAGAATACTCATTGCCTTCAGAATTAGAATCTCAAGTTTGGTTCGGCAATTCATGTGCTTCCCACCAGTTAAATCCTTATGCATTTCTTTTACAAAACAAAAGAACTTATGTAAGGTCCAATAAGGTTTATGTAGAAAATTATGAAACTCTCATCATACAACCAATAAATTTCACACAATTTAACCCAAAGTTCAATTCAAAACATAAATTAATCCATACCAATATCGTACATGTACCGTCTATTTCAAAGTTCTCTAGTGATAACAATGTTATTTTTTAATTCCTTGACAAATGCTATATTAAATCTCAAGATTTTAAACAAGTCATTGTTGAAGGAATTTTAGATACTAATGACATATATTACTTCCCTCAACTATCTTGAGCTAACAAGTTCTCACAACCTAAATAACAACTTGAGTACTGGTATTCAAAGTTATGCCACTCTAATTCTCCTATGTCTAATAATTGTAAAACCATCGGCTAGGGCATGCCAACTTTACGTCTATTGCTCATATACTCAAACTGTGAAATATTCTTTCATCTAATAAACACAATTCTATTTTTTTTCACCTCTTGTAATCTCATGATAAAACACATAGATTATTTTGAATCTTTTCAACCGTTTTCTACGCATGTAACACACTATAATTTACAATTACTCTCCCACATCTTATTATCATCAAAACTAAACACTGCCAAACATCCCACAAACATATTAAATCTAACCTTGAGATTTTCCAAACTATTTGTCCTTAACAACCACTTGAATCCAATAAATTGAGTTCGTATTTGAGTATCTTGTATAGAAAGGTATAGCCACCAACACTAGGCGTGAAAGTGTACAACAAAACTAATCTCAAGCTGTCTATTAAATGTAATACCTATTTAACATAATATCGAAATATAAAACGGACCACACCTTTTAAATCTCACCAGTCATCACTCATCCACCATCTCTATCTGTCCTTTTAAATACCATACCTTTTTTCCACACCCAAAAATCACTTGGACAAGAAAAATACTCACACAATTACACCACCAAAAAACAACCAAACCAATCAATCAAACTCCATTTTTATAGCTTTTTCTTCCTATAATCTTTCTTCACTCCTCGTGCGGAAAATCATCCATGTAGATCAAAAACAACTACCAAGGAACAAAACCCAAGTTTATAGATCAAGCCATATAACCAAAAAGAAGGCTTTTTTTATTTCTCCATAATCAACATGATACGGGAACGTACTTTCATGGAAGTAGCAACAGTTCTGACATCCAACCGTCGGCAGAAGGTATGCAGACACTTTACCTTATGAATCCAAACTACGCAGTACCGTACTCTGAGGAACCGCAAAATCCAACACAAAACATGTTTTTCGCTAATCCCAACGCTACCACAAACCCTCCTGCTTCACCTCACGCGCTGAATGGTTTCAAATTTCCCCACGCGCCTTCTTCGTTGAGTCAACAAAACATAGTTGGATTTACTGTTCCACAGTCGAACTTCCTTGGATCCAACTCCACCGACAGTTCATCACAGCCGTACCAAGCTTCCGGCTTCCACTCCTTCGCCTCATCGGCGGCCGAAACTCCTCATCCTCCTCATCCACGGTATAACACTTGGGGATCAGGTAGTTTCATATTACCCGACCAATTTGTCACGGTGGCGACAACAACTACATCAGAATGTTTTGCTGTCGCCACTGTGACAACATCTTCAGCGACAGAATTTTCGCCGCCACAAATAGGTTATCATCATAGGCCAGTTTATCAGCGCGGTTTATCTCTCAGTCTTTCTTCACAACAAACGCCATACCGGTCATTCTCTGGCGAGGTTGTGGCATCTCGCGGCAGTGACAACCATGGCGGTGATGTTTTCGGGTCGATGTATTTAAAAGTTGCACAAGAGCTTCTAGATGAAGTTGTGAACGTGGATAAGGGAATCACCAAAGGAGAATCTGTTGAAGGAAATAATACCAACAATAATGATAGAGAAAAGAGGAAAGCGAATACTGAATCGAGTTCGAGTGGTGGAAGAGAAAACGATGGAGGAAAACAAGTTGCTGAATTAAGCACTGCACAGAGACAAGAACTTCAAATGAAGAAGTCAAAGCTTGTTAACATGCTAGATGAGGTACACGTTTATGTTACATGCATGTAGTAATAATTAATTATGATTCATTTGAAATATGATATTCGTGTGATGTTGTGAAAGTACAGTACTTGTTTGAATATAAAAAATACACAAGTTATTTGCATGATTCAGCTTTTTGACACTGCATTGAATGAATGAAGAAATAAAGATTGTGACACAGCAAAGAAGGACTGAAATTGACAGGATTGTCAGATTTCACTTCTTGGTTTTGAGTAAACTGATGATAACAAAAAAAGCCATTTGATCTGGTGAGTGTCAGAGAATAATTTTGGATTGGGCCCATTTGAGTCAGTTTGATGTTTATTTTGATTGTATGAGAGTGGGAAAAGTAAAGTTTACTTTAAAACATGAAATGAAAAGTAGCTTTCATTATTCATAAACACACTCATATTGGGTCCAAGCTTTCTTTTTATGAAGGTCATTTCATCAAGCGTCTTAATTAAACTGTTTTCTTTAATCAGATCAGCACTTATGGTTTTTGAGTTGTTACGTGATTTTGGTTATGGAAAACATTTATTTGGAAAATGTGAAACAATTTTTTTTTGTTTTGTTAATAAGTTTGACGATTAAACAGTGGTTGTCTACCATTGTTAACTTAATAAGAAAGTGGGTACATGCTCATGTATAAGTTTTTGCCTTTCACTAAGAGTGAGACCCGTTCAGGTGGCTAGGAAGTTATGGGTGTGTTGGCTGGTCAGTCACCCTCCTTTCGTTTTGTGCAGATAATCGGTCATATCTACTTTCTTCTATCTTGCTTTCTTCGGATGTCTGTGCCAGAGAATTCAAGATATTCTCGATAGTTTGGTTGGTTGGCTTTAGTTTTCCGTGGTGGTTGGATTTTTTTTCTCTTCTTGTTTTTACTTCTTTTCATTTTAATATATGGTTTCTACTTTACTAATAACAAAACTATCAAAAATTTACAAACATATTTGAGAGGTCTTTGTTTGATCTCGATGATATTGTTGAAAGATTAAATTTAATTTGGGTCTAAACATATTATTTGATTTTTTGGGTTTAGTTATTTTGAGTTTAGGTAATTTTGAGTAATATTTTTATAAAACTCTTGTAATATTTGAAGTGTCTAAATATTTTTTAGGGTTGTAATATTTTCTAGAATACTCTTGTAATTTTTAGAGTTGAAAACTCTCTAGAATTAGTGTGTCTTAAATTCTCCATAGAGTACTATAAATAGAGATGTAATCTTACACTTTTGTATCAAGCAAAAATACAAAGTTCTCTCTTACATAAAGAATTCTCCTATCTATCAAGTTTCTCTTTAAACCTCTAATATTCACACACATTTTCTAAACACAAAAGACTTTTATTTCCAACAAAGTGGCATCAGAGCTTCAAGGTCCTCAAAAGATTGCGATTGGAGGTTTCCCTTTCCAAATGTCGATGCTCACAAAGAACAACTATGACAATTGGAGTATCCAGATGAAGGCGCTACTAGGAGCTCAAGATGTGTGGGATATCGTTGAGAAAGGTTTCAAGGAGCAAGATGAAGTCTCACTAAGTCAAGGTGTAAAGGAGATATTGAAGGAGTCAAGAAAGAGAGACAAGAAAGCCCTCTTCCTCATTTATCAATCGGTGGATGAAGATACATTTGAAAAGATCTCCAATGCAATGACGGTCAAAGAAGCATGAGACAAGCTTCAGACTTGCAACAAAGAGTAGAGCAGGTGAAAAAGATTCGTCTTCAAACTCTTAGAGGTGACTTTGAACATTTATTTATGGAAGAGTCTGAGTCAATTTTTGATTATTTTTCTCGAGTATTGTCCGTAGTCAATCAACTTAAAAGAAATGGTGAAGATGTTGATGAGGTGAAATTCATGGAGAAAATACTTCGCACTTTAAATCCAAGTTTTAACTTCATTGTTACCAAATTTGAAGAAAACAAGGATTTATAGACCATGACTATTGAGCAACTCATGGGTTCCTTACAAGCATACGAAGAAAAACAAAAGAGAAAATTAAAACAAAAGGAGGTTATGGATCAACTACTACAACTTAACGCAAAGGAAGAAAACTAGGCGAAATAGAAGAGACAAAGAGGACGGGATTGTGGCCAAGATCGTGGACGTGGAGGAGGACATGGAGGAAAAGGAAGAGGCAATTACAAAAACTACTCCAACAACTTCAACAATGGAGAAAGAAGTTGGAATCCACAAGTAACAAGAGGCCGTGGAAGAGGAAATTCATGGTCAAGGTGCGACAAGTCACAAATCAAGTGCTTCAACTACAACAAGATCGATCACTACGCATCTGAGTGTAGATTCTCAAAGAAGGTTGTGGAGAAAGCTAACTTTGTAGAAGAAAAAGGTGAAAAAGAAGAAACTTTGTTGCTCGCGTGCTAAAATAAATTTGAAGAGAAAAGAAACAAGCGGTACCTCGACACTGCCGCAAGCAAACCACGTGTGCAGCGATCGAAGCATGTTCGTAGAGATCAATGAAGCGACAACTGATAATGTTTAATTTGGAGATAAATCAATGATACCGGTCAAAGGCAAAGATAAAATTCTCATACGTTTAAATAATGAGAGTCATCAATTCATATCCAATGTCTACTATGTTCCTAACATGAAGAATAATATTTCGAGCTTGGGACAATTATTAGAGAAAGACTATGACATCCACTTGAAAGAACATAGTTTTTTCTTAAGAGATTATGGACATAACTTGATTGCTAAGGTGCATATGTCAAATAATAGAATGTTCCTATTGAACATTCAAAATGATATGGAAAAGTGTCTCAAGGCTTGCTATACCGACTATTCGTGGCTGGACACCTCAACTTCGGCTATCTAGAATGTTTGTCAAAGAAGGAGATGGTGAGATGCTTGCCTAGTATAAACCACCCAGACCAACAATGTGAAGGATGTGTAATTGGGAAGCAATTTCGAAAAAGCTTTCCAAAGGAATCAACGTCAAGAGCGACAAAACTGCTAGAGCTCATACACGTCGGTGTTTGTGGACCAATCAATCCAAACTCTTTTGGTAAGAGTAAATACTTTCTCCTTATTATTGATGATTATTCCAGAAAAATTATGGGTTTATTTCTTGAAGGAGAAGTCAGAAGTGTTTGAAAACTTTAAGAAGTTCAAAGCCCTTGTGGAGAAAGAAAGTGGTTTTTCCATTAAGGCCATGAGATCTGACCGAGGAGGAGAGTTTACTTTAAATGAGTTCAACAAATATTGTGAAGACCATGAAATCCTCCGCCAACTAACACTGATAAGATCGCCACAACAAAATGGAGTAGTAGAGAGAAAGAACCAGACTATACTTAATATGGTGTGCAACATGTTTAAGAGCAAGAAAATGTCGAAAGAGTTTTGGGCCGAAGTTGTGGCATGTGAGATTTACCTGACAAACCATTCCTCAACAAGAAGTGTGCATGAGAAGACACAACAAGAAGCATGAAGTGGAAGGAAGCCTAGGATCTCTCACCTTAAAGCATTTGGAAGCATTGTCTATACCCACATTCCAGATGAAAGTAGAACAAAGCTCGACGATAAAAGTGAAGTATTTGTGGGTTACGACTCAAGCTCCAAAGGGTACAAGCTCTATAATTCAAATAGTGGAAATATTGTCATAAATCATGACGTGGAGTTCAAAGAAAAAGATTGTTGGGATTAGAGTGTTCAAGAAGACAGGTACACCACCTGCCTCACTGACACTAAGGTTAGATGAAACAAGCTTAAGTGAGAGGACACCACGACTAAGAAGCATTAAAGAGCTTTATGAGGTAACCGAAAACCAAAATGACATTAACCTCTTTTGTCTTTTTTGTGATTGCGAGCCTCTAAGCTATCAAGAAGCTGTTGAAAACGTAAAGTGGAGAGACGCCATGGACGAAGAAATCAAGTCAATCACGAAGAATGATACGTGGAAACTTACTACACTTTTGCGAGGACACAAAGAAATCAAAATAAGATGGGTGTACAAGGTGAAGTTGAAGTATGTAATGTCTCAAGATCAAGCTGCCGACATTTTCACCAAGCCACTCAAATTGAAAACTTTCGTGAAGCTAAGGAGTATGCTTGAAGTCAAAAATCAAGTTTAAGGGAGGATGTTGAAAGATTAAAATTGATTTGGGGTTAAACATATTATTTGGCATTTTGGGTTTAATTATTTTGTGCTTAGGTAATTTTGAGTAATATTTCTAGAAAACTTGTAATTTTTGGAGTGTCTAGATATTTCTTATGGTTGTAATATTTTGTAGAATACTCTTGGAATTTCTAGAGTTGAGAACTCTCTAGAATTAGTGTGTCTAGAGTTCTCCATAGAGTACTATAAATAGAAATGTAATCTTACACTTTTGTATCAAATAAAAATACAAAGTTCTCTCTTCCATAAAAAATTCTCCTATCTATCAAGTTTCTCTTTTAACCTCTAATATTTTCACATACCTTCCCTAAACACAAAAGACTTTATTTCGAACCGACATCGCCTAATAATATCGACATTTTTTTAGATACGATAGAATTTCTAAAGATTATTAGTTGTGTTTCATGAGTATGACGTATGAATGACTCTTTTGCTATTTTGCATGCAGGTAAAGCTAAAGTACAAACAATACCACCATCAAATGCAAAGTGTGATATCATCATTTGAATCCGCAACCAGATACGGAGCAGCAAAATCTTATACATCCCTAGCCTTAAAGACAATCTCAAAGCAATTTCGAAGTCTTAAAGACGCAATCTCATCGCAAATCAAAACAACTAGCAAGAGTTTGGGAGAAGATGATTGCTTAGGAGTTAAGTTAGAAGGTTCTAGGCTAAGGTTCGTCGATCACCATCTCCGGCAACAACGGGCATTACAGAAACTTGGAATGGTTCATAATAATGCTTGGAGACCACAAAGAGGATTGCCCGAACGAGCTGTTTCTGTTCTTCGAGCTTGGCTTTTCGAGCATTTCTTGCACCCGTAAGTATTTACTATTTGTTTCCATCTTCATCTCTTCGATACAAAATTATTTTGAGGTAGAAAATTAAATACTTGTATTCAATTTATATGTTTCTAATTGTGACATGCAGATATCCTCAGGACTCTGATAAGGTTATGCTTGCAAGACAGACCGGACTTACTCGGAGTCAGGTACGTGAAGAGCCAAATGTCCAATATGCTTAAAAGATCTTCCACATTATATATTCAATATTTTTTTTTAATCGGTATATGACTTATCACTCACATGTTTGAATAATCTCTCAATACTATGTAAGTTACCCACATCACGGATTTAAGTCATACTAGAAAGTGATGGGCGCAAAATAAGTTAAAAGTTTATGACTCCTAAGAGCATTTTCATTGGTACAATCTTTCTTTGAAATTTTTTTAGATCCATTGAGCTGCATCATGTTGAAATAAATCATTTCAATTTAGCTCTAATGATGCAATATAAAAAATTTATATTAGGTCCCGCAACTTTAACAGACATATTAAATTTTATTTTAATTAAAAATATTAACTTAAATTATTTAAAATAATATTAATATAAAATAAATAAATAAATAAAATTAAACTCAAAATTAACCCTATATATATATATATATATATATATATATATATATATATATATATATATATATATATATATATATATATATATATATATATATATATATATATATATATATATATATATATATATATATATATATATATATGATAAAAATATATAACATCACATAAATATATATATATATATATATATATATATATATATATATATATATATATATATATATATATATATATATATATATATATATATATATATATATATATATATATATATATATATATATATATATATATATATATATATATATATATATATATATATATATATATATATATATATATATAACATCACATAATTAGTCAATTTTAAATTTCACCATCCTCATATTCAAAATGTTCCTAAATATACTCCACTAGATTTACTTGAAGTTGCTGAGGAACTTGTTTTTCACGAAGACTTGTTCTTCCATATAGTCTTGCATGATTAGGATGAGAACCATTAAATATTTTAGTTGATGAGAAGATATTATCCACATTAACATAATAGTAATCAAAATCGTCGTCATATATGTGTCATTCATCTTCAACAATCGTGTTGTGTAATATGATGCAAGAATATATGGTATTCATGAGGGTTTCCATGTACCAGACATGTCTTATGCCACATATAATTGCAAATCAAGGTTGAAGCACTCTAAATGCTCACTCCACATCCTTTCTAGCTGATTCTTGATTTTGTGCAAATATGTTTCTCTTTTCTCCTTGCACTATTGAAATGGTTTTGACAACTTTAGCTCATTCTGGATATATAACATATGCTAGATAATATCATATATTATATGGAGTTCTATTAATTATATATTGCACAGTGGAAACCATAACTTCAAATATATCATTAAACCTGCTAGATTAACTTAGCACATTAATTCCATTATTTGAATCTACAATACAAAAGAATACATGTCAAATCCACAAGTCTTGTGATGCCGCTGTTCCGAGCATAATTGTGGGTTTACCATGATCACTTTGACAAAATTATCCTTTTCATGAAATGAGACAAAATATTCATTCCTAGTGCAAACAATCAATAGAATCTAGCATTCCTGAAAAGCCACGTGACTCCCTTACTTGTAAAAGATGTTAAACATAAATGTTGTTAGGCCTTCTTAGATTCTCAGCCTCAAATACCTCATTCAAACCCCTTACAGATCTCTCTAAGCACTCAACTAGAGTGTTTTCACTAATTCAAAAGTATTTGTCTACAATATCAGCAGACGATCCATATGCTAACATACAAATAACAAAAGTGCAATTTTGCATTAGTGAAAACCCCATTTCCCAGTTGCATCATCCCTCATTTGAAAATACTCTTCATGATTTCCCAGGGTGTCTAAAATTAGAAAAAAGATGTGCCTATGTTTCCTAAACCTTCTTTGGAATTGGGGATCTATGTATACTAAATTTTTGTTGAAAACTTCGTTGTATAATCAGGTATGTCCTTATTTACAACTCTGATCTATCATTCTTCTTCTCTTTGATCTAGAGGAAATTCCAAATTAATGTTCGTTCTCTAGTATTGACATTAGTAGTTCTTCCTTTGTTTTATCTATAAGTTCATTTCCAATAAAGTCCTAAAGATTTTTTTAAGATTATTTAACTTCCAACTAAACTAAACACCAAACTTTGGAGTGAAGCGCTGGTTCTTTCTTCCAAGCAGTATATCAAAGCGGTTAGTCTCTTTTCCACAAGAATCTTGGAGCAGTTAGTCTTCAAGCTTGTAAACAAACCTTCAGAGCTTTTAACACTGGGATAAGCTCTCGAACCTAAACGTTGGTTTTATACCGGGCTAACCAATTAGTTATGAGATTTTACCATGGGCTAATCTCGAACCTAGAATGTTTTTAGTATCGGGCTAAGCTTTAACCTAATCTTGGTTTTATCATGGGCTAACCAAGAACCTATGAGATTTTACCAAAAGCTAATCTCGAACTTAAACAAGATACTTGATCACACAAGTCCCAAATCTAAGCATTTTATTGGTTTAGCTTTGAAAACTAACAAACAATCCCTAAGTGGACAAAATGTTCAACCAAGGTATATAAAAAATTTCATTGGTGAGCTTACTAATCTACCTTTACAGAATTATATCTTCCTCATTTGCAAAAAGGCTTTCGCAAAAAGCACTTAAGTTAAATTCTTAGTGAGAAAAAGTAAATGAAATAAAAGTTTATATATATATATATATATATATATATATATATATATATATATATATATATATATATATATATATATATATATATATATATATATTTCGCAAAAAGCACTTAAGTTAAATTCTTAGTGAGAAAAAGTAAATGAAATAAAAGTTTATATATATATATATATATATATATATATATATATATATATATATATATATATATATATATATATATATATATATATATAGATAGATAGATAGATAGATAGATAGATAGATAGATAGAGAGAGAGAGAGAGAGAGAGAGAGAGAGAGAGAGAGAGAGAGAGAGAGAGAGAGAGAGAGAGAGAGAGAGAGAGAGAGAGAGAGAGAGAGAGAGAGAGAGAGAGAGAGAGAGAGAGAGAGAGAGAGAGAGAGAGAGAGAGAGAGAAGTGTGAAATGAAGCACAGAACATCTATTTATAGGCTATAGGTTGGCTTAAAAAGAATATTATTTTAAGTCCAATTTATGACTTGCCGATCAATTGATAACATATACCAATAAATTAGTTGCCTCCAAATTAATCGATTACGAAGCTAACAATGGAATTTTAGCCATTATATCTCTTTAATATGTGTCCTAATCGCTTGAGATGCCACGAAATAAACCAATTGATTGGTTCAATATGCCAATCGATTGGCAAAGACAAAAGTTTTCCCAAAGCTGTTGAGACAACTTCCAACTTCTCTAGCACGAATTCAAGACATTTTTGAAATTTTTTTCTTGAGAATAAATCAGTTTAAAAAATAGTTTCGTGTGCGTGTGGTTAAGCAATGCACTTAGAATGCCTTTATGCTTCACAAAGTATTCACTCAGACTAATTGAGGTAGGGCTTTCTTATTCTTCAAGAATTATTATATGTTTTATTTCTTATAGAAACTTGCTTGACTTCACTTTAAATGAGGCTTGAGTTATATTCCATTTCAATTTACATCTTTAACCTCTTAACTACTTAAGCTTGAATTGTCATTAAAGGCTAGTTGTCATAATTGGTCATTAGTTGTCATCATCAAAAGTTGTTGTCCTTTTTAAAGGCAAGTCACCTAGTTGTAACCTGCAGAACAAGGTTCGCATTCTCCCCTTTTTTGACAATGACAACACGTCTCTCAAGGATGTGGTAAAAGAAAAATAAAAGTGTTTGAAGTAATAACCCTCCATTAAGTAGATAGTATACTCTGCTTCCCCTGAGTGTTTACTTCTCCCCCTTTGTTAGAATAAAAAAGGAGGCTAAAGATGCATTGCGAGAAATTTAAACATGTAAACATAGGCAAATAAACATTTAGAAAAGGGAAAATATTGTTTTAGTAATTAAGAGAAATTACTTGGAAATCAAAGTACAAGAATGGGAATTAGTGATTAAAAAATTACAGAAAGCAAAAAATAACATGAATTTAAACATCTAAGTGAGACTATTCTATGTCAAGATTATTAAAGAAGAAAATATATTTAGATATTTGTGTTTGGTCTAGGATGAAATGTCGAGTTATGAAGTGAAAGTTTTCATTCATCACATTTATCTTCCTAATTATAACTTTGAGCATTTCATTTGTTGTTTGCAATTGAGGAATAGAGTAGTCGAAGTCATCTAACTCTATGGGTGTTTCCTGACTATTTGTGACTATTTGCTTTCCTTTTCTTCTTGTTTGAGGGTGGTTTCAATTATTTTTCCATTGATCATCTAAAATTTCATTGATGGTGGGTATGGTTCTCCTATTTTAGTAGTTTCTTCCTTGAATTCCTCATCTCCGAAATCCTATCCAGTTTCATCCAGGATCTCGGTGATCAAATTTCTATATGGCAGCCATACTCCTTCTTTGTTGTTTTATATCTTGAATTAGTTCAATCACTTGTATTGCCCAACTCATCGTGATTTTATTATCTATTAACCATATTATTTCTACATCAACTTGGGTTATGAGGCTGAAGTTGCTTTTTCTTGGAAAGAGTATGTGATTAATCACATAGTGAATTATAAGACTCTCAGGGAGGATATATCCAGCAGTGAATGGATTTGGTATGGTGTGTGATGACTCCTTCATTATAAAGGATGCAGTGAGCTGGTGATTGTATTTGTCCACTTTGTCTCCAGGTTCGACGAAAGGATCTTCATGAGGGAGATTTAACAACTTTCTGGGTTCTTCTACTAATAAAGTTAGGTTTAATACCCTTTTTAGTTCTGTATCTTAACCTCGAGGTTCATTTTGGTCCCTTATCTTTAAAAAGGTTCATATTGATCCCTTAACTCTTTAAAACGTTTCATATTAGTCCTTTTGTCTAATTAGCAACTGATTTTTCAATTTTTCTGTCGCTAATAGGAGAAAAAAAGGACTTA